GATGTCAGCTTGAGGACTAAGGTGCGCCTGACCCAAAGCCATGGTATTTTCAATAACCTCATATGCATGTGAAAGCTGGACAGTGAATAAGGAAAACCATAGAATTGATGTTTTTGAGTTATGGTGTTCATGGAGACTATTGAAAGTGCCATGGGCTGCCAAAAGAACCAATAAATCCATTTTGGAAGAAGTGCAGCCAGAGTGCTCTTTGGAGTCCAGGATGGCCAAACTTTGTCTCTATTTCAGACATATTGTCAGGGGGGACCAGTCCTTGGAGGATACCATATTTGGTAAGGTGGAGGGTCAGAGAAAAAGAGGAAGACCCCCCAGCATGATGGATTGGCAATATGCAGCATCAATGGACTCTCAAGCGTGGCAACAATTGTGAGGTTGGCCCAGGACTGGGCAGCGTTTCGTTCTGTTGTACATAGGGTCGCTGTGAGTCTCTACCGACTCGATGGCACCTAACAACAACTTTGTCATGTTGCGGGAGTCCTAGTGTGCACTGTAGGATAAAACACTTCACTGCAATGTCGGCTTAAACCACAAGGTTGGTGATTCGAACTCACCAGCCGCTTCTTGGAAACCCTATACCAACTGGTGTGGCACTGTGGGTTAAAGCGCTTTGAACCACAAGGTCGGCGGTTCAAGCTCACCAGCTGCTCCTAGGAAACCCTACACAGGGTCGCTATGGGTCAGAACCGACTCGACGGCATATAACAACAATAATATATAAACTGGGTATAAATCGGAACCGACTCGAATGCACTTAACAACAACAACTTTGGTCAGGTTGTCAGGAAACTCAGAAAAAGCGGAAGGTCCTCAATGAGATGAATTGACACATTTTCAGCAACAATGGACTCAAACATAACGACTATGAGAATGGCGCGCAGAACCAGGCACTGTTTCCTTCCTTCACTACGAAGCAACGCAACTCTAACACACAACTAGAAATGTCACTCTTTCGGAAGCCACTGCCCTCTTCCTGCCACACCTGGGCGGAGTTACCTTCCGATTCGCCATTCCATTGGCTAATTAGCTGTCGGTCACTGGGAGGCGGGAGCAGTTGGAGCTAGGCCGCTGCGCGTCTGCGCACAGAGCGGAGGGCCTCGCGCGGGAATTTACACAGGGATTCGCGGAGACGTCTCCTACCACTAATCGCCTCTTCCTCCGCTGTCGCCTTCGCGGGGGGACGGAGCGACTCGGCTGACTTCCCTCGGAGGAAGCAAGAGCGGCTCTTCCTACACACCACCACCCCCAGGTGAGCCTTGGACGAGCTTAGGAGCCTCGACAGGCCTACCCGCGACCTTCAAGCGCCGGGAACACTCCGTGGACCAGCAATTTGCGCCACTCCTCCACCAACCGCAAACCCAAGTTCACCAGAGACGCTCACCCGCGCCCCTCCCGCCTTCTTCCGCGTTCACGTGGGAGGCCGACACCCCTACGGTTTCTCTGCCGACACTGACGTGGACGTCGTCTAAACAGGTAGGTTGTCCGAGCCCACTGGCAGTATGGGGACACTCGTGGAACGACTCACGAGTGGCGGAGTTGAACTCGTGCATTTCATTGCCTTGGCCTCATTATCAAGAGTAACCCACATTGCAGGTGTACGTTAAGGAATGGCATATGTCTAAAAACAAAATTCCCAGTAAGTTTGCTTTATACCGAGGACAGAGAGTCTTCGTCCGCCGGTCTGATCTTTGGTTCAGCGCCAAAGCTTTCGAGCCTACGGATCATAGAAAGGGAAGCATTCTTCAGTTATCCCACTTACCACGGTCTCATAGTTTTCTGATCCCATAGAGACTTGCCCGTTTGCTCTTGTAACAAAAGCAAAAGAAGTAGAAGTGGTCATTTATTAGAGGAGACCTAATTGTGAGAGGAGCTCTGGTAGCGTAGTGCTTACGAATCGGGCTGCGAACCGGAAGGTCAGCAGTTCGAAACTACCAGCTGCTCCGCGGGAGAAAGATGAGGCGATCTGCTCCCATAAAGATTTACAGCCTCGGAAACCCTATTCAGGGTCGCTATGGGTCGAAACCGACTCGACGGCACTTAACAACAACAACAACAACAAATTGTGAGGTGCTGAACTGAAAAGAAGGTCCTGAGATGGAAATGAATAGTGGAGGATTGATGGAAAACCATGATGAGGAAGAATGTTGCATTGAAATGGTTGGAAATTCCAGAAAGAAATGTGGGTTTTCCAAAGGGAATTATCAAACCAGCAGTCCTGGAGTTATGCTTAAGTAGACAATTTCAACGTGAATTTTAAAATGCAAGGAATTTAAGTAAATAAAAGCGCAGCATAGTCTTGACAATTTTCAAGGCCCACATTTTTATAAATAATTTATCAGGCATCTGCTTACTGTTGTGGCCTTGCGCCAAACCTAACTTTTTGTTCTTATTTATAAAGTTATCATGTTGTTGTTAAGCGCCATCGAGTCGATTCCAACCCATAGCAACCCTGTATAGGGTTTCCAAGGAGCCCCTGGTGAGCTTGAACCACCAACCTTGTGTTTCAAACGCTTTTGCAGTCTGCTCATTAACCCACAGCACCACACCCAGACTCCATAGTAGTATCCAAAAATTCATGGACATTAAGTTAATTCCAACAACCCTATTGTTGTTAAGTGTCGTGGAGTCGGTTTTGACTCAGCGACCCTGTGTAGAGTTTCCGAGGAGCAGCTGGTGGAATTTGAACTACCGACCTTATGGTTCGCAGTCCAGTCCTTATCTACAGCACCAGACCAGAAGTCCAGTGACCCTATGTTGTTAAGTGCCTTCCAAGGAGCAGCTCGTGAGCAGGAACTGCCCACCCTCGGGTTCAAGCCGACTTTGCAGTCCAGTGAATTAACACACAGTGCCATACCAGGACTCCCCAGCAACCCCATAGGATAGAGTAAAAAACTGTTTCAGGGTTTCCAAGGCTGTAAGTCTTTATAGAAACAGACTACTATATATTTCTCTCACAGAAAGATTAATGGGTTCAACCAACCTTTTTTGTTGAGTACTTAGCCACCCTGCCTCCAGGGCCCTTTTCACCCCATAGGGTGATGCTTCTGTGAGATAAGGTTTGCAAAGCCCTTTCACAACACTCATAAGCAGCAGTGAGCACTTAACTACAAACATTTTAAAACTCATCTTACTGTGGAAGGTAGATTTTCTTCAAAGCATGGAATAGGTGTGATTGCTCCTACAGGGAAGTCTTTTACCCTGGGTAAAAAAGAAACATGTGGAAAGGAACTGTAGTCACTGATTTAATCAAGTTAGTCATACAGCATGTGCTTGTCAGATGGTGAGCCTAGGAAGCGGTTTCTTAGAAGGACAAGAGTATCAGTGTCACAAGGACAGGACAAAAGCACAATGATGACTGTAATCCTCATGCTAATCTGGGCTCCTGTGTAGGGTGCTGTAGGATAGGCACTGGACTACAAACCACAAAGCAATTCAAATCCACCAGCTGCTCCTCAGAAATCCAGTACAGGGTCACTATCAGTTGGAACTGACTCGTTGGCACTTAACAACAACAACAACATGTGAAAGGAGTCCTGGTGTGGCACTATAGGATAAGCACTGGACTACTAACCGCAAGGTTGGTGGTTCAAACCCACCGTCTGCACCTCGGAAACCACACACAGGGTCCCTATGAGTCAGAACTGCCTTTGACAGCACTTAACAACAACCACCTGTGAAAAGCAAATCCCTGAGGCTGACTGGGAATCAGAAGATAGGACAGCTGACTTTTGTGATCACTAATAGACTTTCTGCTCCCGTAAAGATTTACAGCCATGGCTATAAGGGGTCTTTCGGAGTCAGAACTGGCTCAGTGCCACTTGACAGTACCCACTAGGTAAGTCTTGAGGAGTAACAGCTGAAAAACAGTCAGATTTGAAGAAGTTCTATAGCCTAGAAAAGAATAAAAAGAAATGAAACATCACATTTCCTTTAAAATAACAAAGATTCAAAGTGTAAAGATCAATGTTTGCTTGTTTTTTAATGATAGAGGCATAGCTGCTTGTTGCAATTCTGTTTTTAGGATATTTCACTAAACACGAAAACAGAAGTGGTCAACACTGCTGAATATTAGATGTGTTATTAGATTTACAAACTAAATGTCAAATAATTTATAAATATCAGCTTCCCCAATGCTGCTGAGTCCATTTTGATTCATAGCGGTAATGCAGGACAGGGTAGAACTGCCCCATATTAGACAGGGTTTCCAATCCTGCAAATCTTACAGAAGCAGACTGCCACATCTTCTATGGAGTGGCTAGTGGGTTTGACTCATTAACCTTTCACTTAGCAGCCAAGCACTTGACCACTGCACCACCAGGCTTCACTATGAAATAGTGAAGGGGCCTGGTCAAGTAGACCAAAGGGGTGGGTAAAGAATTGGCATCTGTCTCTTGTGAAAACCTCAGAAGAGCTGGGAGGCTGCACAGCCATGGACATTAGACTTGATTCAACCACAGATGCTAGTCTTTCCATTCCTTCCATGGACCTTGACGTTCCGTCGAGTTTGTTCTGACTCACAGCAACCCTGTATAGGGTTTCCAAGAAGAGACTGGTGGGTTTGAACTGCCAACCTTGAGGTTAACAATTCAGTGCTTATTTTATAACACCAAACCAGGACTCCAAAATTTGTAGTAGTAGCTTCTATTTTCTCAGACTTTTTGCTAAGCACTTGTTGTACAGTGTTACATTTAATTTTTATATTGGAGTTGCGCCTCTGTGGTGATGATGTTCCCATTTAGATATCAGTAAACTGAGGCATTGCTAGAATTTGAACCCTAGGTCCATCTCTGTGACCATGTTGTTTCACTGATACGCAGTTGTTAGGCCACTAAGGTGGGGTTGGGGGACAGAGGGTTATTCCGCTGTTAGTAAAGAGCAGAATTTTATATTCACCTGGGTTCTCTTCAACCCTCTTTTCCTATAGCTCTTGGCTCCCTGAGGTTCCGGAACCGCCCTGGCAGAGGCCTCCTGTAGCAGAGCCAGAGATGTCATCAGTGGATTTCAAGACCTATGTGGATCAGGCATGCCGAGCTGCAGAGGAGTTTGTTAACGTCTATTATACCACCATGGACAAACGGAGGCGTCTGCTCTCCCGCCTATACATGGGCACGGCTACCCTCGTGTGGAATGGAAATGCTGTTTCGGGACAAGAATCCTTAAGTGAGTTTTTTGAAATGTTACCTTCCAGCGAGTTCCAAATCAATGTAGTAGACTGCCAGCCTGTTCATGATGAAGCCACACCAAGCCAAGCCACAGTCCTGGTTGTTATTTGTGGGTCCGTGAAGTTTGAGGGCAACAAACAACGGGATTTCAACCAGAACTTCATCCTGACAGCCCAAGCCTCCGCCAGCAATACAGTGTGGAAGATTGCAAGTGACTGCTTCCGGTTCCAGGACTGGGCCAGCTAGTGGAGTGAGAAGGCCTCTTCACTGTACCCCAGCACTGGGAGGATACAGACATTGACATATGGGGATATGTGTTCGTTCCTGTTGTTCTACAGACACTGTGGACCAGTGTGCAAAGGTGGGACACTTCCACATTTACTCCAGGTCTAGAAGTCCCTTTTCTGAGTCTACACTCGTTTGTCATAGTTGCCTTTTAAGTGTATCAAACTTTTCTATTTTTTTTTTTTTTATTATTATTATTTACCCCCTAGAAACTCTGGTTCTGGAAATTTTGAAAAATAAAGTAAGATAAATGTCACTTCTTTCCCTTAGCCTGGTATGTTTGACTAGGTTTTGAGGAGATTAAGGATTGAAGGCAGGAATGATAAAAAGTACCTGCATAGTTTTGATTTTTCAGGCTGAGTACTCTATCTGTGCGCACAGGTATACTGAAACAGTGGGGCACAGCCCGGTCTGCACGTTAAGAATCTTGTGAAGCACTTTGAAAAATACCTGTACTTAATACAGTCTACACCTAAACATCTGAGGGTGAGGCAAGGCATTAAGATCCTTCAAAAGCACCTAGGTGTCTTAACATGTAACTTTTTTTAAAAATTTGCTGTCTACTTGATTCCAACTCCTGGTGCCTCCACATATGCAGGGCAGAACTATTAGATAGAGTTTTTGGAAACAAATCACCAGGCCTTTCTTCAGAAGCACATCTGTGTGGCTCCAGTTTTCAGTTGGCAGTTGAGCACTCAACCACTGTGCCACTCAGGCACTCCCTAGTGTACATTTGGGTGCTTCAAAGTCATCTAACGTGACTCAGATGGAAATGAGAACAGATGAAACAGTGAAGAGTTGGTGAATAACCTTGCAAATGAAGCAACTATGTATAATATTTGTTTGTTGGTTTTTAACTCTAGAAACCCTACATAGGGTCACTATGAGTTGGAACTAATTCGACGACACTTATCAAGCAACTACAAACTGCTTTTAAAAGGTAAAAAGCATTGAGGTTGGGGGGGGGAAGGGCATTTGAAATAATAACTGAAAAGAATCAACACAAAACTGGTTCCTATGAGGTAGAAATCAAATATACCAGTTCTCTAACTTCATTTCTGATGCTATTAGTACCCCCCATAAAACTTCCTTTACTGGGTCCAATATCTCATTGTAATAGTCTCAGAGAATTCAAGGAAACATTATATCTGCAATAACAACTTTTAACAGAAGAATGTAAACAGGTAAGTGTAGGGTAAGTTTGGGGGGACATATCTTAGCTCAGGACCTCAACATTCTAAGGGGACCCACTTTCTTAAAAACTGTCTTAACTAAGTGATGTCACTAAGTGTTCCCAATTCTTGTTCAGGATCCAACTTTTACATTCTGCTGCCACTATCTCGGTCAGGAAGATTCATTAGTACACAGTCTCAGTGTCCAAAGAAAGTGCTCCCTTCCTGGCTCAAATAAATTAAGAGGCTCATCTGAGCCTGGGTGTTCTAGGGTTTTTATCAGTCACCAGGCAGGGTCCCAAAGGAGCTCTGGTAGTGTAGTGGTTACGAATCGGGCTGCAAACTTCAAGGTCGGCAGTTCCAAACTACCAGCTGTTCCGCGGGAGAAAGATGAGGCTTTCTGCTCTCGTAAAGATTTACAGTCTCAGAGACCCTGTACGGGGTCACTATGAGTTGGAACCAACTCCACGGCATATAACCACCACCAGGCAGGGTCCCAAGGACTCTGCAAATGTCAACTATATTGGTTTGTGATCTAGGAGGGATAGAGCCCAGCCAATCCATGAAGAGGTTGAAGACAGGGTTGTATTTCCTAGCCAGTCTGGGTAAATGGCAGATCTAAGGGACTTAAAACCAAAACCACATGGAGAAATTATTTTTTGTGAATCCGTACCTTGCAGCATCAGAATTAGAGGTTTTTATTGGTTCTGGAAGGATCCATGATAGTGTAGTGAATTATCTACCAGTCACTCCATGGGAAAAAGATGTTCCATTAAGATACACAGCTTCAGACTTGCATAATGTGCCCTTTGGTTGTTTAAACTATTATATATCCCTGAGTGTTTTTATATAAACACTTCCCCCCCCCCAAAAAAAAAAACATGGAATGGAAGCAAATACTGTTGAATGATGATACACAGAGGAGATTGTAATCATTGCAATGAAATAATGGTATAAAGCGTATGTTATCCCATGTAAACTACAACTCAGTTCACAATAAAAACTTAAAATTTTTTTTAAAGAAAATATAGAGCCTCAGAAACTTTATGCAGGGCCACTGTGAGTTGGAACCGACTCAAAGGCTTGCAGCAGCAGCATTAATCCTGAGTGGTACAAACAGTTAACACACTTGGGCTGCTAACCAAAAGGTTGGAGATTGAGGACAAGGATCTTGATGTGCACTGTGGCACAGCCAGCCAGTTACCTCCTAAGATCCCTGAGCTTCACTAATTACTGAAGCCCCCAACATTTAATAGGACAAGATACTCATCTAAAAGATTTCACTTCCCAGATCAACTGATTGCTATGTTTCACATATGTCTAAATCCTTGTCCATGAAGTAAAAGCAGAAAGGTAATATTTGGGAAATTTTTCCTTCAAAAGACCTTTCCTCCCTCTCTCTATCCTACATCCAGGAAAACGGTGGTGATGGCTGGAGTCTCAGCTCAAGTTCAGTCATGGACACTAAGACTAGCTTGGCTCGACCCTAATGGTCAGATGATGACCACAAGGAACCACCAAAATTACTTGTCTGCTTACCCCAAGACTTTTTTTTTAAAAAAAGAGCAGTTATTTTTTTAGCCACTGCTGTTGAACATGGACTTCCCACCTCCTTCACTCAATATTTTCCTACAGAATGAGGGTCAAAGGGACTGGAAACCAGGCTGGCTTTGCTTTTGTTGACTGTATAAACAATAAACTGAAGATACTCAAGTTCACTGTCTCCTTGCTGAACAAATCCTTGAAAGTGTGGGAAGTCCTCCTAGCCACTGCTTAGGGATTGTAGACCACTTGGGTCAAGTGCTTATCCGTCAGCGCCACACCAGAAGTATTCTTGATACTTAGATATACTGTAACCTTTGCTCTTTGTTGTTAGGTGCCATTGAGTCAGTACCGACTCAGCAACCCTAAGCACATCAGAACAAAACACTGCCCAGTCCTGGGCCAACCTCAATTGTTGCCCCACTGGAGCCCATTGATGCTGCCGCTTTGTCAATTCATTTCATTGAGGGTCCTCCTCATTTTCTGTGTCCCTCCACCTTACCAAACATGATATCATTCTCCAGTGACTGGTCCCTCCTGACAATACATCTAAAGTATGACAGACAAAGTTTGGCCATCCTGGCCTCCAAGGAGCACTCTGGCTGCACTTCTTCCAACACAGATCTGTTGGTTCTTTTGGCAGCCCATGGCACTTTCAATATTCCCCTCCAACACCATAACTCAAATGCATCAGTTCTTCTATGGTTTTCCTTATTCACTGTCCAGCTCCTATTGTTATTTTTGTTAGGTGTCATCAAGTCGGAACCGACTCATAGCGACCTTATGCACAGCAGAACAAAACACTGCCTGATCCTGGGCCAACCTCACTACAGTTGACACGCTTGAGTCCATCAATGCTGCTACTTAGCCAATCCAATCATCTCTTTCACGGTTTTCCTCTTTTTCTCTGACCCTCCACCTTACTAAACATGATGTCTTTCTCCAGCAACTGGTCTATCCTGACAATATGTCCGAAGTATGAGAGACGAAGTTTGGTCATCTTGGCCTCCAAGGAGCGTTCTGGCTGCACTTCTTCCAAAACGGATCTATTGGTACTTTAGGCAGTCCATGGCACTTTCAATAGTCTCCTCCAACACCATAACTCAAAAGCATCAATTCTTCAGTTTTTTTAATTCGCTGTCCAGCTTTCACATGCATATGAGGTTATTGAAAATACCATGGCACACCTTAGTCCTCAGGCTGACATCTTTGGTCTTCAACACTTTAAAAAGGTCTTGTGCAGCAGATTTGCCTAATGCAATATGTCATTTGATTTCTTGACTGCTGCTTCCATGAG